TAAAAAGCATTCGGAAGGGAATCATAATCAGTCTTGCGAAACAGAGGTTAATGATGGCATTCGGGCTAGTTCTCGAATGCTTCGGCCGGCCTTTTATAGTAAGTGGATGCTGAGCTGTGGTTTCAGTTTTCACTTTAATGCCTAAAATGGCAAGAAATTTTGTCCTATTTTTGAGGCAAATTTGTTGGGTGGGAGGATTTCCACCAGCGTCGAAACAAATGTAAGGTACTATCAGAATGTTTTGCAAACTCGTAATAAATTATTCGTTATAAATTAGCTCGTAAATTATTCATCATTCGTGGTAAATTACGGTTGAACTACCGTAATAAATCACGATTTTGATATTAACAGGATTCGCGTCAAGTTTGCTTGATTAGGCCACTCGTAATCAAGACACGAAGCAACGAATTTTCATTGCAAGAAATCTGATTATTTTATTTTCGAAGGTTTTCAGAATCGAAATGCATGAAGGGGCGGCAAAGAAATTCGTAATTCCTTCACGTGATGATGACTTATTGGAAGAGAATGATGATTTCTATACAATCGCCATACGACCAGAGCTGGATGAAATCATTTCAAAAGTTTTCCGTAGGTTTTTTTGTGATTTGTCTTATCTGGAGAGATTAAACAGTCTTCATTTTGGCCGAGCCAGGTCCCACAGTCGGTTTTTGACTAGTATTTTTTTGTTGGTTTTTATTAATGTACCGAAAATTATGGTCCCCCTCGGTTAATTTGTTTTGCCGCATTCGTCCCGAATAGAAGAACCCGATCACATTGATGATGCGTACAATGTAGTGTCAAGTAAAGATCGAAATTTCGGCATTGTTTGTTACCTGGCAGCCCATCCGTTCATTGGTTTTAGTGGTAAATTGGTGCAGACATATTCTAAGTGATCAAAAAGGGCATCAGTTTGCTTTCATGAAACTTTCGTCGAAGAAGCAAACCATCCACTTGTTTTAAGATTACGATTTGGCCTTCGAACGACCGTAATTTATTATCCTTTCAAGCGAAACGTTGCTGTTGGCATGTGCTACCATTGGGACCACTTCTGACTATTTCCATCCCCGGCAGTTGAATACGAAGGAAACAGATTCCGACTTTTGACTCTAACTTGTGGCCAAGTCGCGAACTTAGGTTTTCGAGTAGTGTCATATTCGAGGTTTTTTCAAGGTCCGGGGAAGGGGACGGGAGAGTGGTAGGGGGAGAGAGGAGGGGGAAGGTGGGGAAGACATTCTCAGTGCCTAGTTTTTTACTGGAACTAGAGCTGAA